TCATTTGCATTTGTAAGGGATCCGTACTTGTGCCCATAGTGATTCATCGTATTTGCAACACACTGTTGTTTATCCAAAGTATTCATATGCATTTGTAGTGGACCGTTGTATCCACTACGAGCTTTTTAGAAAATATTTGCAGGAGATTCATCCTTTCTGCATCATATCCACCCTTTCACCAATCTCGGGTGGTTCATGATTGCCCTTGCTTGTAGGGATAGATCTTTGATTGCTTGTCTCCCATATTGCTACTCGATCAACAGGCATTTGTAAGGATTGTTGTAGGAGTTCGTACATCCAGGTCTTGTAACGAACTTTGAGTCACTATTAACCATACACATGTTCTTGTTTGAACTCCCTTACATAGGATTCAAGCCTTGTCCTTGTATGTGTTTGAATCCAAGTCTGAGTTCCAACGTACAAGTTCAAGTCTTTGTTCAAAGTTTGTTCATCTCATTGATATCAAATCAATATGAAACTGAGTTCCTTGTTATTCTTAGAAGTTTGGGTTCTTCTTGTTCATGTTAGCTGGAACCAGCTTGAGTTCAGAGCACAAGTTTGATTGTCTATTATTCATCCCATTTTCAAATTGATCAAGTTTGAGTTCACTCGAGTTTGAGTTTTATATTCGGATCCCCTGATGTTGCACAGTTCGAGTTCCAAGAATAAGTTCAAGTGCTTGTTCAGGGTCTTCTGAAGTCTTTGTAGTACAATTTCGTGTTCAAATGATTTGATTTTGACTTCAGTTTGATTTATCTCATTTGGTTTTGATCTTTAAAGATCACTTAGAGTTTTAGTCCACTGTTCTTCGTATAGGTCCTCTGCTCATTTTAGTTCAAGTTTATGCATTTCAATGAAAATTTCGCAGCACCCGGCATATCCCCGTTTGGGGAAATAGGGGAGCTGGGCCTTCACCACGCTACTAGAGCGTGTATGGTAGGTGTCCGTAGACACCGCGGCCGTAGTAATTTTCATCCCACCACGCTACAAGAGCGTGTATGGGGCCTTCAGTAGTACCCGTACAGCGGAACAGCAGTGACATACCAGAACAGCAGTGACTCCCCACCACGCTACAAGAGCGTGTATAGGGCTCTCCCACCTCGTCGTATGCTTCGCACCGGGCTCCCACTACCGTGCTACAAGAGCGCGTATAGGTGGTTCTTCGGTCCGCTGCAAACGTCGAGAATGGGATTGGAACATCATACCTTGCGTAGCAGTCCGTCGGCGGTGTCGGTGTCTGGTGTCGAGGTCGAGGACCGTCCCCACCACGCTACAAGAGCGTGTATAGGGCTTACCCGCCTCGTCGTATGCTTCGCACCGGGATCCCTCCTACCGTGCTACAAGAGCGCGTATAGGTGGTTCTCCGGTCCGCTGCAAGCATCGAGGACGGGATTGGAGTTAGAAACTTATACCTTGAAGACCGGTGAGGAGGAGTCGTTGGCTCGAGGATCGAGGCAATCAAGGCAAGAGGGGAGTGCAAGCATTTTTCTCTTCTTCTTTTTTTTTTGAATTAATTAATAATTAATGATAATTAATTAATAAATTATTTATAATTAATTAAAATTAATTAAGATAATTAATTAAATTTATTAAAATTAATTAAGACTATTATTTATAATTAATCTGTAATTAATTATAATTAATTAGTACTAAATTATTAATAATTATATTAATTATTAATAAATTAACAATAATTATATGTAAATTATAATTAATTAAAATTAATTTTAAAATAATTAATTATAATTAAATAACTTAATTATAATAATTTAATTAGAATTAAGTATAATTAATCATATATTAATAAAATAATTAAATATTAAATTAATAAATAAAAATTAATAAAAA